TGTTACATGGTATGTTTTTACCACTTTAACCTATCTGTGTCTGTATTCAAAGTGAGTTTCTTTGAGACAACGTATAGTTGGATCTTGGTTTTATGTTCACCCTGACAGTCTCTCTTAATAGGTGTGTTTCAGCCATTGATGTTTAAAGTGATGATTGATACATTTGGAGTAATATCTACCATATCTGTTACTATATTCTGTTTATTGTCCAGTTTTTGTCCTTTTTAGTTCTTTAGTCCTGTCCCTTTTGACCTGTTAATTATTTTATTAATCTGTAAGGTGTAATCACTGGATATATTGTGGCACCTCTTTTGAGGAAACTATTATGTTAGATCTATTAAGAATAGTAATGGGGGGCGCCTGGGTGGCTCAGTGGGTAAAGCCTCTGCCTTCGGCTCAGGTCATGATCCCAGGGTCCTGGGATCGAGCCCCGCGTCGGGCTCTCTGCTTGGTAGGGAGCCTGCTTCTACCTCTCTCTCTATCTGCCTGCCTCTCTGCCTACTTGTGATCTCTGCCTGTCAGATAAATGAATAAAATCTTTAAAAAAAAAAAAAAAAGAATAGTAATAGGGAGGTGTGCCTGGGTGGCTCAGTGGGTTAAGCCTCTGCCTTTAGCTCAGGTCATGATCTCAGGGTCTTGGGATCACGCTCTCTGCTCAGCAGGGAGCCTGCTTCCCCAGTCTCTCTCTGCCTATTTGTGATCTCTGTCTGTCAAATTAATCAATCAATCTTTTTTTTTAAAGGAATAATAGGGAAAGATGTTATTTAACTTTTATTAATTTCTTGTCTAATATTCTTCCTTTCTTTATGTAGATCCAAGTTTCTGTCCTATATAAATTTCCTCCTTTCTGACAAATAATCTTTTAGTATTTCTTGCAAGACCGTTTCCCTCAGTTTATGTTTGCCTGAGAATCTCTTATATCTCGTTCAGTTTTGAAGGTAATTTCACTGAATACAGAATTCTAAGTATATGGATTTTTAACTTTTTAAAGGTTTACTCTTTCTTTCTTTCATTCATTCTTTCTTTTTTTTTTTTAACTAATCTCTACACACAGTGAGGGACTTGAACTCACAACTCCAAGATCAAGAGTGGTATGCTCTTCTGACTCAGCCAGCCAGCCAACTCTTAATTATTTCACTCTACTTCTCTTGTTTGCATGGTTTCTGAAGAGAATTCTTATAGAATTTTTCCTTACTCTTTATAGGTAATTGTCCCATGCTTCTTGGATATTTTGTTCTTTGAAATTTTTTTGTTTTTGTTTTTGCATTTCAGTTTTGGAAGTTTCTACTGACATTTCTTCAAGCTCATTTGTTAGTTTGTTTTGTTGTTGTTGTTGCGTCCAGTCTAAAAATAAGCCCATTGAAGGCATTTTTGCATTTTAGTGGTTTTGATTTATAGCATTTCCTTTTGATTCCTAGTATTTCCAACCCTCTCTTTATGTTATATACATAAGTTCTTGCATGTTGTCTGCTTTTTCCATTAGATTCCTTAGTATATATTTTTTAAAGATTTTATTTATTTTATTTACTTCAGAGTGAGAGAGCATGAGAAGGGAGAGGGTCTGAGGGAGAAGCAGACTCCCTGCTGAGCAGTGAGCCCAGTGTGGGACTCCATCCCGGGACTCCAAGATCATGACCAGAGCCAAAGGCAGCCACTTAACCAACCGAGCCACCCAGGCACCCTCCTTAGCATATTTTTAAAAAGATTTGTTTGTGTATTTGAGAGAGAGTGTGTGACAGAGAGTGCACATGCAGGAGTGGAAAAGGGCAGAGGATGAGAACCTTCAAGCTGACTCCCCCATTGAGCAAGGAGCTTGATACTGCGACCCATGAGACCGCGACCTGAGCCAAAACCCGAGTCGGCTGCTCAACCTACTGAGGCACCAAGGCACTCCGAGATCACTTAGCATTTTAATCATAGTTTAAATTCCTAGTCTGATAATTCCGTATCCTTGCTATACCTGAGTATGGTTCTCATGCTTGCTCTGTCTCTTCAGACTGTGCTTTTAATATGCCCTGTAATTTTTTTTTTTTTTTTTTTTTTGTAAGCTGGACATGATAGTACTAGGCAAAAGGAGCTGAGATAAATATGCCTTTAGGGTGAGATTTTGTTTATCCACCTAGAAAAGTCTCGACTGTGTTATTCTAGGCAGTTGCTGTAGGTGTCAGAGGCTAAGATTTTCTCTGGTGTCTTCGGTTTTGTCTCCTATGGTGTTTTGGGTTTCCCTAGTTACTACTTAAAATCTTTTTTAAAAAATGAAGTTTTTTTTCAGTTTCATAAGAGCTCTACTGATGCAACAGTAAGGAATTAGGGGAATAGGAAGTGCTAATCATAGATGATTACTTTTTAATCTTTTAACTTCTTACTGTGTCTGTGCCCCGGACTATTTTAGACACTATTTTTTGTTCTAGAATGTCGTTTAGGGGTTCCTGGGTGGTTCTCTCGGTTAATCATCTGACTTTGGCTCAGGTTATCTTGGAGCCCTGGGATCAAGTCACCCCTACGTTACCCTCCCCCACTGCCCTCATTCAGTGGGGATTTGGCTTGTCCCTTTAGTACCCACGCCCACCACCCCCATGCTCACTCGTTTGCTCGCTCTCAAATAAATAAAATCTTTAAAATACTATTTCTTCTTTGAGATTCTGTTTATTCTTCATGAGCAAATTGTGTCCATTAGCATTTAAAATAATTGCTTTAAAATCTATGCTAAATTGAGAGGACCTGGGTGGCTTAGCCAGTTGAGCGTCTGCCTTCAGCTCAGGTTATGATCCCAGGGTCCTGGGACTGAGCCCTGCATTGGGCTCCCTGCTCAGAGGACAGCCTGATTCTCTCTCTCCCTCTGCTCCTACCCCTGCTGTGTGCGCACTCTCTCTCAAATAAATAAAATCTTAAAAAAAAAAATTAAAATCTGTGCTACATCAAAAGTATTTCATCTTAAAGTTGCCTACATTTGATTCTCTTTTGAGCATTGTTTTGTTTTCCTATTTCTTTACAGGTCTGCGAAATTTAGATTGTATTCTGGACAACATAAGTGGTACCTAACAGAGGCTCTCTGTGTTATGTTCCTCCAGAGATTGTTGATTTTTTCTTTTTAAAGATTTTTTTTTTTATTTGACAGCACAAGTAGGTGGAGCAGCAGGCAGAAGGAGAGAGGGAGAAGCAGTCTCCCTGCTGAGCAGGGAACCTGATGTGGGGCTCTATCCCAGGACCCTGGGATCATGCCCTAAGCCAAAGGCACCAACTGAGCCACCTAGGTGCCCCTTGAGGGGAGTAGAGTTTATATACCAGTCTGAGATTTCCTCCTTTGGCTTTCTCCTTTTCTGCACTTCTCCCCTTTTTTATATGCTGTGGTTGTCTTAACTCTGTCCTCTGATTCTTCAAACACCAAGACTGTAGTTCTCTGTTTAGCCAAACTTCTCTCCTCTGGCAGCCACTGGGGCCTCCCTGCAGGCCAAGTGCTGTAAATAAAAAGTTACTTAGGGTCTTCCTGTCTTCTAAGTATTGATGTTCTCTCCAGTTTTTAGTTACTTCTGGTCACTTTACAGTGTCTTCGGGTAGTAGTGTTGTAATATTTTGCCCAGGATTTATAGTTCCATCAGTGGGAGAAACGATCTAAGAGGAACTATTCAGCTGATACTGGATAGTGGAAGTTCTCCATGGTAGCGGTGGAAGTTGGAATTACAGTAGCCTTAAAATAACTAGTATTTATATAGTACTTCTTTGTCATAAAAACAGTTTAAGGTAGATTATCTGATCCATCATGAATGTTAATAATATAGTAGGCAAAAGACCAATGCGTATGTGTTACTACATTTAGTGCTAAGAATCTGGGCAGGAAGTGAATTTGGACTCTAAATGAATATAAGATGTGTAGTCGGATATGGTAACTAAAGCAAAAAGTTGGGGAGGAAGGTAGTAGTGAAAACTTTAGATATGGAATGAAAAGCAGAATTTTGTGCCTTTGAGAGGAAACTGTCAGCAGGTAAATGGGCACCAAGAATAAATACATAAACTGTCTTGCCTACATGTTTCTTTAAATTTTAGTGTAAGCTTCCTTGGATCCTTGGAAAAGGATTGCCTGCTCTCTCTACCTTTTATAAATTAGGTCACACAGTGCCAACATCTGCCCAACTCTCATTCTTTCTCATGGGATTCATTGTTTCACTGTATTTTTATTCTTCACTTTTTTAAAGCATTAAAAAATAATTTTCATATCATCACAGTTTGTAATTTTTAAAAACTTAGTTTCTGTTTATTTACTACACTGTAAGCTTCATGAAGCAAGATACCATGTTTCTGTATGCCCAGCTCTTGGCCCAGTGCCTGACACGTGTTAGATGTCCCTATTTGTTGAGGAATGAATGAAAACAAGTGCACACATGTATGCACATGTACACACACACACACACACACACACACGAGTACCAAGGAGTACAAGTAAGAGTTACAAAAATCTGTTATAGTCAGTCTTAAACTCTTTAGTACAGTTGAGGTTTTTATTAACCTAGATTTTGAGGGATGTTATAGGCGTGAGTTGAAAGTTAATGTAGGACAGTTCCAAACTGGGAGAAGGAGTGGAATGGCAAGAAGATTTGGGAAAATTAGTAGAATAATATTGGTAAGAGTTGATTACTACTTTGTATATTAGCAATGAAAAAAATTTTTTTATAAATACAGAAAAGGCTATAGGATATGTGGAAATGTATTTTTAAAGACTTAAGTCTAGGTGGTTAGATAGTATGGAGACCCAGAAAATACACAGAACAGGATATTTGAACAGAACATCATATTTGATGAGAGCAGTTTGAAAAGGATGATTCAGGCAGTCTTGAGTAGTAAGATTTGTCCACATGGAGATGAGTGATGAAAAGCAACCAGTGCTTTTCATTTCTTCTGTGTTTCAGTATTCCAACATCCCAAAATAAAGGAGGGAGTTAAAAAGAAGTATTTATAGGCTATTATAATCAGATTCTTTATAATAAAACCTTCTCGTTCCACAGCTCTTGGATAAGCACAAGAATACAGAAAGCATGGTGGAGCTTCTGGACTTGTATCAGATGGAGGATGAAGCCTATAGCAGCCTTGCAGAAGCCACAACTGAACTATATCAGTATTTACTACAGCCATTCCGAGACATGAGAGAGCTTGCCATGCTACGGAGACAACAGATCAAGGTATTTTTTTTTTTTTTTTTTTTTTTTTTTTTTAAGACCTACATGGTTCTCTGCCTGTTTCATAGTTCTCAGACTGGCTGGCCATAGAGGAGCTTTTTAAAAATGCAGATACCTGGTCCTTTGTCCCCAAAAATTCTATTTTGGTCGATTCAGGTTATATAGGACCTGCGCACCTCATTTTAGAGTATCTCAAAGGTGATTCTGTTGAGTAGCCAGGGATGAGAAGAGCCTAGAAAGTAAAGTTGTGGATGTATTGAGAAATCCCCATCTTCCCCCTTTATTCTCTACTTTTCTTCTCTGTTCCTCTCATAGAATGTTTTGGGGACTGTGTGGCCTTATATTTCTTTACCAGAAGTTTTGGGAACATTTTTTCTGGGAAGGCCTTATTTTGAAAGTTACAAGAGGGGTGCCTAGGTGGCTCAGTCAGTTAAACATCTGACTTTGGCTCAGGTCATGATCCCAGCGTCCTGGGATTGAGCCCTACATTGGGCTCCCTGCCCAGTAGAAAGCCTGCCTCTCTCTCTTCCTCTGCTTAACGCTCCCCCTGCTTGTGTTCTCTCTGTGTGTCAAATAAATAAATAAAATCTTAGAGAAAAAAAAAAGTTATAAGAATTTAATGTCAGAGCTTCAAAAAATGTTTTTATAAGTTTTATTTATTTTAGAGTGGGGAAGGGGCAAAGGAAGAGGGAGACAGAATCTTAAGCATACCCCGTGCTGAGGGTGGAGCCTGACGCAAGGCTCCATCCCAGGAGTCTGAGATCATGAGCCAAAACCAAGACTGGGCTGCTAAACCTACTTAGCTACTGGGGCAACCCATTAGAGCTTTAAAACCTATGATATTTAAGAGGCGCCTGGGTGGCTCAGTTGTTAAGCGTCTTTCTTCAGCTCCGGTCGGTCCTGGGATCAAGCCCCGCATCGGGCTCCCTACTCTTGCAAAGCCTGCTTTTCCTTCTCCCACTGTCTCTGCTTGTGTTCCCTCTCTTGGTGTCTCTCTCTGTCAAATAAATAAATAAAATCTTTTTAAAAAAAATAATCTATGAGATATAGTTTTCATGGGTAAAGTGTGCTTTACATTTTTGAGGCAGGTGTTCTGACGTCTTTCTTTGCGTGGTGTTGTTTTAGCTACTCTTTTTTTTAATCTTTGTTTTTGTTGAAATTACAGAGATACAGCCTTAGCTTTCTAAAATTTTATCCTGAACCTTTGGCAAGATACCAAGCGATGAAGCTTAAGCTGTATTTATAGAGAAATTTATAGTTATTAGAGAAGAAAGTTCCAAAATCAGTCATCTAAACTTTTACCCTAAGAAGCTAGAAAAAGAGAGCAAGTTAAACCCAAAAAATTAAGAATGGGGTCCATGAAAAAAAGAAACGATAGATTGAAGAAAAGATCACTGAAACCAAAACCTGGTTGTCTGGGGGGGAAAAAAACCTCAATATATTTTATAAACCTAGCTGAATTGATTTTTTTTTTTTTTTAAAGCCCCACATATCTGTTAGGACTGAAAGTACAGATATAACTACAGATTCTATAAATGTTAAAGTTAATAAAGAAATATGAACAAATTGGTACCAGTACATGGTCTGATTTAGATGAAATGGATACATTTCTTAGAAAAAATGCAAGTTATCAAAATAGATTCAAGGAGAAACAGAAGACTATAGGGAGCCCTATATTAACAGAGTTGAGTTCATAATTCAGAACCTTCCTATAAAGAAATCGACAGGTCCAGAACACATCATTGGAGGCTTTATGAAACACGTAAAGAAGAAATAATGCAAAACCTGCACAAACTCAGAAAACAAGGGAGGGAATACTTCCCAACTAATTTTTTAGGCCAGCATTATCCTGATACCAAAATCAAATGATGTTACAAAAAAAAGAGAATTAGAGATAGATGACCCTCATGAATGTAGATGCAGTAATCCTTAACATGATCTTAAAAAATAGGGTCTAATAGGGATACCTGGGTACTCAGTCATTGAGCATGTGCCTTCAGTTTAGGTCATGATCCCAGGGTCCTGAGGATCTAGCCCTGCGTAGGGCTCCCTAGCAGGGATTCTGCTTCTCCTTGCTCTGCTCCTCCCTACCTCACTCTCTCTGAAATAAATAAATAAAATCTTTAAAAAAATAAGATCTAGTAATCTATAAAAATAATGATACAGTATATATGAGTAGGGTTTATCTCAAATGCAAGGTTGTTTTAACATTCAGAAATAAACCAGTATAATTTACCATATTAGACTAAAGAGAAAAAAAAAACAGTATATTTCTATGGATGCAGAAAAGCAATTAACAAAGTTCAGTATCTATTCATGGTAAAAACCCAGCACACTAGGAAGAAAAGGGATTTCCTCGACCTGATAGGGTGTGTATGAAAAGCCTACCTAACATCAGATCTGATGGTGAATGACTAAATTCTTAGCCCCTGTGATTGGGAACAAGGCAAGATCGTTTACTCTCACCACTTTAATTCAGTATTTTTCTGGAGTTCATAGCCAGAAAAAGTAAAAGGCATATAAATTGGAAGCACAAAATAAAGCTATCTGTACTTACAGATAATGTAATCATGTATATAAAATATACTAAGAGATTTTTTTTTTTTAAGATTCCATTTATGGGGCGCTTGGGTGGCTCAGTTGGTTAAGCGTCTACTTTTGGCTCAGGTCATAATCCCATGGTCCCAGAATCAAGCCACACATCAAGCTCCCTGCTCAGCTGAGAGCCTGCTTCTCCCTCTCCCTCTACCCCTGCCCCCACCCCTCCTCGTGCTTGTGCTCTCTTTCTTGCTCTATCTCAAATAAATAAATAAAATCTTAAAAAAAAAAAAAAAAGATCCCATTTCTCTATTTGACAGGGAAAGTGAGAGAGAACACAAGCATGGGGAGCCACCTAGCTGTCCCTCTCCTAAGGGATCTTTAACAAAAAAAACCTGTTGAAATAATATGTAAATTTAGTTACAAGGTTAATGTTAAAAATTCAATTGCATTTTCTAATCTTTTAGAAATGAAAATTACAGGGGTGCCTGCGTGGCTTAGTGGGTTAAAGCCTCTACCTTCTGCTCAGGTCAGGATCCCAGGGTCCTGGGATCGAGCCCCGCATCGGGCTCTCTGCTCACAGGGAGCCTGCTTCATCCTCTCTCTCTGCCTGCCTCTCTGCTTACTTGTGATCTCTGTCTGTCAAATAAATAAATATCTTTAGAAATGAAAATTATAGAAACTTTAAAATACCATTCTAAGCATCTCTGAACATGAACTCTTCAGAAATGTATTTTACAAAATCTATGAAAGTTCTGTCTACTGAAAATTGTAAAGTTTTGCTGAGGGACATTAAGTGTACCTTAAGAAATGGGAAGATCATGTTAATAGTTTGGAAGACTCAATAATGTTTAGATGTCAGTTTTCAGTTGATCTAGATTCAAATTAAAATTCTAGTAAGTTTCTCCCCCCAGAAACTGACAAATGAATTACAAATTTTTATGGAAAGGCAAAGTATGGCTTTAACAATTTTGAAAAAGATAAAATTGGAGGGCTTATTACCTGACTTGAAAACTTCTGGAAAACTAGTGAAATCCAGAAACAGATACATGGTTATATAGTAAGTTTTTCACGAAGGTGACAGAGCAGTTAAGTGGGGGAAGGAATAATCTTTCCAAGAAATGGTACCAGAACAACTACAGACCCACATTAAAAAAAATTGATCTCAGTTCTTATACCATATGGAAAAATTAACTTCAAATCCATTTTAGACCTAAACAGACTCTCATGTTCTAAAATATGTATAAGGGGGGGTGCCTGGATGGCTCAATAAGTGTCCCAACTATTTTGACTCAGGTCATGATCTCAAGGTCATGAGGTCAAGCCCTGTGTTGGCTCAGTGCTAGATGTAGAGCCTGTTTAAGATCTTTCCCTCTCTTCCTCTTTCTGCCACCACTCCGCTACTTCTCTCTTTAAGAAAAAAAAATTTTTTTTAATGTAAGAAAACGTAGGAAGTTTTGACAATTTTGGGAAAGAAAAGGTAAAGGCTTTTTAGGATGCAGAAAAGTTGAGCCCTAAACTTTATTATTTTTTTTTTAATTTTTTAAAAAGATTTTATTTATTTATTTGACACAGAGAGAAAGACACAAGCAGGGGGAGCAGCAGGCAGAGGGAGAGAGAGAAGAACGCTCCCGGCTGAGCAAGGACCCTGGGATCATGACCTGAGCCGAAGGCATCCGTCTAACCAACTGAGCTACCCAGGCGTTCCCATGAACTATAAACTTTAAAAAATTTTTTGATAAATTGGACTTCACCAAAGTTAAACACTTACTTTTTGAAAGATCATTAAGAAAAAGAAGGCAAGCCCACAGAATGGGAGAAAATACTTGTAATACATCTGAAAAAGAAATTATACAGCTCAATGACAACCAAAAAATTTAAAAATTGGCTAAATTCTTAAAAGACCTTAAAGAAATGGCTAATGAGCACATACAGAGAAGCTTAAAATTGTCCTCATGGAAATTCACATTAAAACCATGATGAGATACACACCCATTAGAGTGAGTATCATTTAAAATTCTGGCACTAGGATGCCTGGGTGGCTTAGTCGGTTAAGCATCTGCCTTTGGCTCAGGGTGTGATCCTGTGGTCCTGGGATCCCGCCCCACATCAGGTTCTCTGCTTAATGAGGAATCTGCATCTCCCTACCCCCCATCTATTCTCTCTGTTCATCAAATGAATAAATAAAATCTTAAAAAATAAAGTTGTGGCACTCCCAAGGGCTGTTGAGGTTATAGAGCAACTATAATTCTCAAATATTCCTAGCATATTTTGTAGTGGTGTAACCCATTTTGGTAAACAGTTTGGCTGTTACTTGAGGAGTTAGATATATACATACTTCAGTACTCAGCTATTCAAATCCTAGTTACTTACAAAAGAGAAATGAAAACATCTGCTCGTAAGACAGGTACAGTAATACTCATGCCACCTTTCTTCACAGTAGCGCCTAACTGGAACAGCCCAAA